TTCACCATGGACTGCATATAATATTAAAATATGAAATCTGATAAGTAAAACTAATAAGAAAAAAGAAAAATAATCTGAATCAACTGGATTAACCCGTCAAACCTGAGATTCGTATCATGAAAATCTGATAATTAAATAGAAAAAATTTAATATTAAGAAACTCAATTAAAAGAATAATTACAAAATAAAAAAAGAAGAAACAAAGGCATATGCCATGAGTTTTTTTTCTTGCATAAAAGATATAAAAAAAGACTAAGATCTAAGAGTGTTATGTCTTTTTATAAAAATATACTCAAGAACTTTTAGTCTAGTTGCAATGCTTGACCCAAGAGTAATATATTTTTTTATAAAAATATACTCAAGAACCTTTAGTCTAGTTGTAATGCTTGACCCAAGAGTAATATTTAAAATATTAATAATAACATTAAACTTACACGACTCAAGTTTAAGTGAGTTTTGTTGCAAAACTGGATCCAAGAGCCTTGGATATGGGTCTGGCTATAAAGTCGTGTGATAAAAGGGTGATAATTAATAGATTAATTAAAAAGAAAAAAACCAATAAAGAAAAAGAAAAAAAATCTGAATTAATTGAGTTAACCTTTCAAATCAGGTTAACCCGTCAAACCTTAGACTCGTGTTATGAAAGTTTTATAATTAAATAGAAAGAAAATGAAAGGTTAACCCTTAATTAACTAGGTTAACATGTCAAGCTCGTGATATGTGTCATGAAAGCTTAATAATTAAATAAAAAAATTAATATTAACAAACTAAACTAAACGAAAAAAATTTATTAAAAAGAAAAAAGCAAAAAAAATAAAATTTCAGATTAATTCGTCAAACCAGATTAATCTATCAAATTCATGATCCGTGTCATAAAAGTCTGATAACTAAATAAAAAACAAAATATTAAATTAATTGAAAAATATTAAAATTATTTTGTTTCTATAATCATGAAAAAAAATGAATAATTAAATTCATTTTTTCCATAAACATTTCTTAACTGGTTTTTTTTCTTATTTCAATCTTTAATTTTTATTAAAAAATTAATTTTATCTTTTATTATTTATTTGATTTTGAATTAATCTTGATATTATAAATCATGTAACTCATTAAAAAAAGGTATTGATCTGAATAGATATAACTCTTATATATGTGGTGAATTAACTCGGGGTAATTTAATGAATTATTATAATTTATATTTAAATTTGTTTATTCCAGCTAGCGGAAAGGGAAGTAGACACGCGATTATCAATAAACTCCATGCATGTGTTATAGGAACCTCTCTCTCTCTCTCTCTCTCTCTCTCTCTCTCTCTCTCTGACGTGTGATCTAGGATCATTTTACCAATTAAGCTTTCTGTATCAACAGTCAAAGAGTCATTTATTGCTGAAAACAAATGCGATTGCTTTGTATTTTTATGCAATATGTTGGACGGAGATGTTCTTCCATGCTAAATTATTAATTTCAAAATAAATATAAATGATTTCAAAAGAAAACAATTTCATTAAATACTAGTGTTTTTTCCCTCTCAGTGAGATTTGAAATACAGGTTTTTAAACAAGTGCCCTTGAAATGCTCGATAATTTTAACTTATATAATTAATTGATTTGTTTCTATAATCATGGAATTAAGCTTATGTCTTCCTTGGTACAGGAATTAAATCATTCTAATCATGTTAATCAACCTGTTATATCCTTGGAATAATCCTAAAAAGAAAGGACAAAGCAGAAATTAAAAAGCGGATGAAGGCGGAGATAGGAAAGCTAGAAAAGAAATAAAATAAATGAAGTGAGAGAGGATGAAGAGAAAGGAGATGATGATGCCGACGACGAAGAGAAGGTGAAGGAAAAGTATGAGACAAGATGACAAAACATATGCCGGCAATCTCTTTCGTAAATTCAATTTCCGAAGCCATTATGTTGTTCATATAAAGCTCTAATAAACACCATTAACAACACACTAGCATACGAATCAATCAAATCCCCTTTTACTTTCCTAATCTACATTCATGAAAATCGATTTTTCTTCTCTTTCTTCCCTCTTCACACAAGCGACACTGGTTCTCTCTTTTCATCTTAGCCTTTTCATTTTAATCGATTAATTTGGGGTTGTTTTGTTTCTCATCAAGAGTTGGCTTCTTCTTCTTCTTCTTTTTCATGAATCCACATCTTTTTGTTTGAATTTAAGGGATTTTTCAAAGATGGTTTTTCGAATTTTTTACTGTAATTATGGTTGATTTTTCTTTGAATCTTATTTTTTTTTTTAATCTAGGAGTTGAAGACAGGAGAGAGAGAAGCAATGAAGGTCAAGTCGGGTGAGAAAAATTATTGATTTTGATTTTTTGTCTTCTCGGTCTCTTTGAATTAATAGAAAATAAAATCTTTGAATCTATTAATATCAGGTATATTGTTGCATTTCTTTCTTCTCTTTTCTTATTATTTTAAGTTGTTTTTCTTTCATGGATCTCCATCTTTTGTTGGCGGTTCGCAGAGTTTTTAATAGATGAGTTTTTTAATTTTGTCTGCTTTTTTAATTTTTATTTATTGATGTTGATGGGTTTTTCGATTCTTCGTGTGGGTTTTTTGGCATCTACACACTCATTAGTGTTTTATCTTTCCATACCGTTCTTTTTTCTGTTTGGTTTTGGTTATGTATTTATTTCTTACTTGGAGATACTAATTGGTTTCCCTTTTTACTCCGTTATAGATTGCTTTGACCTTCAAAGCTATTGATTCACCTAGCCTTGAGTGGGGATCCAAGTTACGAAACCAAGGTGGTTGTGAGGATATGTCTTGCTAATGGTATTGAAATGTTCCTAGCATTGTTGGTGATAGATTGTTCTTGCATGATAGATCAATTGTATGGGGATTCATTGGAACCCTCTTGATATTCATGTAATCAATTTTTAAGCGGTTTTCAAAACTTTTGGAAGAGTTTTTTTTCTTTTCAAAATGCCCCCCTTGTTATAGACAGATGATATTGAGGCTAATTATTATTAGATTTTTAATTTATTAAGAGGCTGGTTTATAAAAGTGTTTTTCAATTTGTGGCTTTGGGAAAATCAGTGGTTAGGCGGGTAATTGGACGGAGGGGTTCACGAGTTTAGGTTAGTTAGCTTGAATTGTTATGAGTTGTTAACTAAAGTTAATGTTAATTTAAAATGTAGAACTTGAAAGAAATTCTGAGCTTTTTATTGGGACTTGGTTTGTTAGAAATGCTTAGAAATTGGATAAATCACTAGCTGTTGTTTATGAAATTTGCTGGTGCTCCATGTAAAAAACATTAACCAGATTTGTCTCCATTCCATGATAGTGTTCAATGTGTTTGCTTTGTCGATCTTCATGCCAGATTTCAATGTTTAATTCAAAAATCATATCAAGCTAGTCATGGTCATATTCACTGTGCATAGAACAATTTCTGATTTGATTGTAATGATTGGTGATGTTCCAGCCTATATCTTTAGGAAATAGTTTGAGAACTTATAAAATTAGATTGGGTTCAAAGTTGTTATAACATAGACAATATTTCAAATTATAGTAGGTGAAGAAAGGAGATTGATTATGATCTGTATTGCACCTAAGAAAATGTCAGGAATTGCTGTTCCTACAATGAATAACAGAACTACCATGTTTTGGGATAGCAGATTTTTTTTCTTAAATTTTGCTTTTAGTGCTTCACTCTATTAGATCAGTTTGTCACCTTTAATAACTTGCTGCATTGGGATACCAAACTTGCTGAAATGACATAAACCATACTTTCAAACTCTCTTTTGATTTTTTCCAGTGGAGATGATTGCAAACAATATATATGATTCATGGTGCGCTAGGTCATCCAATCCTTTCTTTTCTTTTAAGTGCACAATGCTTTGTGCAGCATTTCAAAGCTAAGATTTGATGCTTCTATACGTGCAATCCATAATATTTACCACATGTTTATCCTATTTTTCTATTTTTGCAATGTATAGGTATTGAAACCTAGCTGGAATCATTATCGCCACTACATCAGCAAGTTTGTCCTTTCCTCGCACCCTGTCTTTCTTTCTCTTCTTCATTTTCTTCTTCTTCATCTTCTTGGCATAGGATTCGGTTCCTATAGATAAAAAGTATAAATGAAACATGCTTTTGGTACAAATACTAACAGATATGTAGAAACTCATGTTAGTTCCATGATGATGACAGACTTGGCTTGTGCAAAATTAACCACATGTTTTGAACAAAATTTTCATTTTATTTGTTTTAAATGAATACTTTAGTTGTTTGCTACTTTGAATAGTCAGAATACATTTTTTTTCCTTGCTTGGTTGATAGCTACTATCGGGATCATCAATGCATTCATAAAGGCTAATTATTGTGCTTTTTTTTTTTTTCCCGATTCCATTTATTTTATACATCTATTCCTGAGATGTTTGTATTGGCAGCTTCATCTACAAATATCAATTATAATCATCAATAAAATTGTCAACTGATTAGATTCCAGCACCCCCAATATTTTGCCACTATAAATTATTGTTACTATTTGTTTTCTCATCTAACAGATTCCCCCCTATGACTTATTCAATCATTTAAAAACATCTCCCATTACATTCACATCTATATATCATGATATATTTCTCATATTCTCTTGGTTAAAGCTACCCATATATATATATATTTGTGTGTGTGTGTGTCCCTCACTTTTCTTCACAGCTTATTATATTAGAGGACCTTCCGACTTTTGACATAATTCTTGGTACTTTTTTTTATAGGAGGGTTGGCCGTTGCTCACACAAATCCCTTGTACAATCCATATACCTACGCATATGCCTGTGACTGATATACACCTAATATTGCCCCTGCATCTTCAAACTAGTGTTGTTTCTATATACACACACCTAATATTGCCCCTGCATCTTCAAACAGAATTCTCATAGCAAGTGACTGAGAGGGATGCATGTCTAATAGTAGTCTCTTGTATCAAATTCTTTTATTAGGTAGCCCCTCTGTCTGGTTCCTTGTTTCAAATTAAGCTAGTTAGCTATGGAGTCGGGATCCATCTGGGTGGTCCTAGCAGTCATGTTTGGTGGATTAGGGGTTGGGAAATGGATTCTAAAGAAAGTGAATTGGTGGTGGTATGAAGCCGAACTGGGTGAAAAGCAATACTCATTACCTCCAGGGGATTTGGGTTGGCCTTTCATTGGCAATATGTGGTCCTTTCTCAGAGCTTTCAAGTTTAGCGATCCTGATTCTTTCATGCGTACCTTCATCAACAAGTATACTGCTAATTTCTCTTTCTCCACATCTTTCTCTTTCCTTTTTATGCATATACATATATCATGGCATTTCCAGTCTTCTGGCTTTCCTCTAGGCATGATTTCATTCCATCATTCTTCTTTGTTTTCAGGGGAAGTGGCAATTTGGTGTAATAAATAAATAATTTATTTAGATGCATGCAGCATCATCTAGGGTAATGTTTGGTTGTGTTTCAGAATAATATTCGTTATGTTTAGCCTTTAATTATCCTATCTGCCACTAATCCCTTTGATTTTGTTATTAAAGCAAATCTTAATTAATATTAAGAATATTTAAAGTATTGTACTATAGTATTTTAAACCAGAGAAGATAGAGCTTGTGAAATATGTACCCTACAGTATTTGTTCTTCAATAATTCTCTCTGGGTCCATATTAATTTTAGATGAATGGTCCTAATCTTGCTAACTGTTCCAATTATTACATCACATGATACTCCAAATCTTAAGCATGTGGATGTGATTCGAAGATTTCCTTCCCTTTCACACCTTGACTAGTATTCTTGAAATTTTGATTGTTTTCTGCTTTGTTATGTTATCTCTCTAAGGAAAAGAAAGTGGTTTATCTATCTTGGCTTTGGTTGCCATTCTTAGGGGTGTCACACTCGTACATTGGTGCATGGTAATTGAAGTTACATGGTTGAATTGCTCTATTGTTGCTTGAATCATATCTTTAATATTAGTAGTACTCTAGCTTATGAGAAGAAATTGTTTTACGTTAATTAATTAATGATATATTACTCAATTGAATGAAAACAATATGATACAGATATGGACATAATGGAATCTACAAGGCCTTCATGTTTGGGAATCCGAGTATATTTGTAACAACACCTGAAGCATGCAGAAAAGTATTAAGTAACGATGATGCATTTAAGCCCGGATGGCCAATTTCCACACTAAAGCTTGTCGGAAGGAAATCCTTCATTGGTATTTCTTACGAAGAGCACAAGCACCTTCGCCGCTTAACGTCCGCTCCTGTCAATGGTCATGAAGCATTGTCCGCTTACATTCCATATATAGAAGAAAATGCAATAGCTATGTTGGAAAAATGGACCACAATGGGGAAGATCGAGTTCTTAACTCAAGTGAGAAAACTTACCTTCAGAATAATCATGTATATATTTCTTAGCTCTGAGAGTGAGGTGGTCATGGAGGCTTTAGAGAAGGATTACACCACTCTTAATTACGGAGTTAGAGCCATGGCAATCAATCTTCCTGGATTCGCTTACTATAAGGCATTGAAGGTTGATCTCGCTTTTCTTGATTACTATTATTATTTACTCATCTAACTTTAGCCTTGTTTAATTCCTGCTGTAAATAGGGGATTAAGTTAATGAATTTTTATTAATTCCAGGCCCGCAAAAGACTTGTCGCTGTATTCCAATCTATAGTGAATGAGCGTAGAAATTTAAGGAAGAACGGTGCTCTTAACGCAAAGAAGAAAGACATGATGGACTCTCTATTGGGTGTTGAAGATGAAAATGGTAGGAAATTAACCGATGAAGAAATTATAGATGTAATTTTGATGTACTTGAATGCAGGCCATGAATCTTCTGGCCATATCACGACATGGGCTACTATTTTCCTCCAGGAACATCCAAAATTTCTCCAAAAAGCTAAGGTATGTACCATAATTCCATTAATTATAAGACATATACCATTTTTTTGTTGAAAGTATGTTATCCATCACTTGATTTTGTTTTAGGAAGAGCAAGAACAGATTGTAAAAAGGAGGCTGCCAGCACAAAAAGGATTGTCACTTAAGGAAGTTCGAGAAATGGATTATCTTTCCAAGGTACAATTTATTAGCAGCCTGTCATGATTTTATGTTCAACTTGTTGCAAATCAATCAAGTTCATAACAGCACATTTCAATTTTGTAATTTGTTACAGGTGATTGATGAAACACTTCGTTTGATCACATTCTCGCTTACCGTTTTCCGAGAAGCAAAAACAGATTTCAGTATAAATGGTTAGTTGCTAAAAGATCTTTTCCCGAGGGGAGTTAGTGTAAAATTTTACATTCTTTGATAGACCTATAGTTCGTTCATTGACGGATATAATTTCATGATCTTCAGGATACATCATTCCAAAAGGTTGGAAAGTTCTAGTTTGGTTCAGGACAGTTCATTTGGATCCAGAAATCTATCCAAATCCAAAGGAATTTAATCCTTCAAGATGGGATGTAAGTTAATCAGCTTCAGTAGTGGTTACTATAAATTATATTTTGATGATCAACATATATATTAACATATTTAATTGTAGAATTATACCCCCAAACCAGGGACTTTCCTTCCTTTTGGAGCTGGAAGTAGGCTATGCCCTGGAAATGATCTTGCCAAGCTTGAAATATCTATTTTTTTGCATTATTTTCTTCTTGATTATAGGTGAGTCCCTCTGTTAATATTTATGAACGATCCAGTGTTATTTTCTCATAGATACATTATTGTATACTATATGTATTTGATGTTACAGGCTGGGACGTGAAAATCCTGAATGTCGGTGGATGTTCCTCCCTCATACAAGACCAACAGACAACTGTGTGGCTAGAATCAAGAAAGTTTCATCCACATCTGTATAAGAAGCAAGAGAAAGGGCATGCATTTATAGGTGCCTTGAGAAAATAATAATAATAAACTTCTAGAATTTTGGTTCATTAGATGGATACATTTTTAGAAGTAAAGCGTTTTTTTGTACTCCATTCCATACATATATGTAACAGTCTAACAGTTTGAACTGTATGACTCAATTAATGCTAAAACATCCTGACTTATTTTTTTTTATTCAAGGGTAATTTTTTTTATTAAAAATTTGGTCTAGTTATCCTACGAGGAAGTTTAGTATGAACATGGTTTAATATATTATATTATAAAATTTAAAAGAAAAGGAATACAAACATGTAGAGAAAATACTTACACTATAACAAGTGTTTTTAAATATTTTAAAATGGTTAATTACAACATAACTAAAATACTACATGTTAAGCTGAATTTTTATAAATACATTAAGGTTCGCATAAAAATATATTACATAAATACGTTAATTCTTTTTTGTTTTAAGTTAAATATTTACATAAGCTTTATAAAGTAGAGTCCTCAACTAATGATTTTTTTTATATTTGATGGACCTGTTACATAAATAAACATATGATTATGTTGATAAAGAATATATATGTACTCATGTAATGAATACGAATGAAGTATTAACTTTCTATCAGATTCATAAGAATTCTAACAGAAAACTTATATTTTACTTGTAAGTCTTTTAAACCCAATTAACACTCATTTGTATATTTTTAATGTGAATACTCAAATTTACTTGTATGAACTAGGTGATCTTGCAAAGTTTAATCCTGTAATTCATTTCTTGGCAATCCTATAATGGATGCCATTAGTTCATGTAAATCATTTCCTAGCAATCCTATCCTATCATTTCCCGGAAATCATATCACGAAAGCTAATCATGTAAATCATTTCTCGGCAATCCTATCATGGATGCTATTAGCCGAAGCTAGTCATGTAAATCATTTCCAGCAATCTGATTAGTGCTTAAAAATGAATTTTTATCAAGGTTTTATATCATCATTTTGCACTTCAAGTATTAATAACTCCTTAACTAAAGCTTGTTTTATAATAAAATATCTAATAATATAAGATATCTTTAATTTGTGGTAAATATTCATTTTAAATGCAAGCTTATTATATAAATGAAAGGATTGATTGATGAATTTAAGAATTGAAATTGAAAGGACAAAGAGATGACCAAACTTAGAAAATAGATGTTGGTGCAGTCCAAACTAAAACACTGTTCGGTAATTGGGTCATATCTGAAGTTGTAGATCTCGGATTTAGGTCTACTTTATATGAATGAAAAGGTAAGACATAGGTCTACAACTTTCATATGAAGCCTAAGATTTAAAAAGGCCATTTTCAAGTCCAAATTATAGCAACAATAAATAAGTTCAAATCTGTCTTACAACCAGTGCACTGTTTAGTTTTTGGCCCATATCTGGAGTTTTAAAAGTCCAAATGACCTCCATTGTTTTTCCTGGAAAGCTGAGATAATTTTCTACAACTTTCATGTTTTCAAGTGGTTCCAATTCTGATATTATCAATGATGTTTTTGGTAGACAAGAGAAGATAAGGATTGTCACCAAGTCAAGAGTTAGCCACCCACTCATCAATTAGTCATCAAATCAATAGTTTTCAACTTTGGCCTATAAAAGGAGGCATTTGCCAGCATTTAGGATCTTAGTCTCCAGATCAAGATCTTACTCTTGCTTTCTCTCTTTGTATTTTTTGTATTGCTTATGTTTTGCTTTTATTAATGTCAAGTTTATGCCTTTCATTTCCTTTCCTTTACCTAGTTAACTTTTATCTTATTTATATTCTTATTTTATTTATTTATTTATTTATTTTTCATTATGTTTAGCTAAGTTTATTATGTCAAGGTAAAAAGGTTACACTAATGGTGTAAGAATAAGTATAATATAAACTTAATATGTACTTTAATGTTTGATATTAACATGTTTTGTATTTGTTATCTTGTTCACTTTCCAATACTTTGCTTGTTAAATGACTAATCTAGATTTATATTGTATAACACTTAGTACAACAAATGCTTGTCACTTTTATAACCTATACTGTGAGGTATAACCGACCCAAAGTTTGGCCACAAAAGAGAAGTCATAATCTGTCCTGCAATCTAGCCCAAATACTGGTCAGAGTTTTATCTATAACTGGAGTTCTAGAAGTCCAAATGATCTTAAATTTGATGGGTGGAAGGAAAAGATAATTTTCAATAACTTTCATGAAGAAGACCAGCTCAAATTCGAATGGTAGAAATGACATTTCATCTAGACAAGAGCATGAGGGCTATCCACCACGTCCATTAGCAGCATTGCTTAGTATTTTAGACATATCTCAAGCTGTCGTCCTCTAAATGATTTGAAATTTAGTGGGTGGAAGGAAAAGAAAATTTTCAATAACTTTCATAGAGAAGACCAGCTCAAATTCGGATGGTAGAAATGATATTTCATCCAGACAAGAGCATGAGGGCTATCCACCATGTCCATTAGCAGCACTGCTTAGTATTTTAGACATATCTCAAGCAGTCGTCCTCTAAATGATCTGAAATTTGATGGGTGGAAGGAAATGATAATTTCCAACAACTTTCATGAAGAACACTTTACCAAATTCTAATTGCATTAATGTCAATTCATCCAACCAAAATACTTAAGTGCTGCTGTCCACCAAGTCCACTAATTAATAGTTGACCACTATATCAATTATCAATTACCAAATGAATAGTTTCAAATTATAGCCTATAAAAGGAGGCATTTGCCATTCATTTAGGCATCTTGTTTTTCATATCAAAATCATATTCTTGCTCTCTCTTTTAAATTTTTTGTAATGCTTAAGTTTTGCTTTCATTAATCTCTTGTTCATGCCTAAACAACTTGCTATTAACATGTCTTATCATTTTTGTCTTATTAATTCTTAATATCTTGTTAAATGGTTAATCTAGATTTGTGTTATATAATACTTAGTACATCAAATACTTGATCCTTCATAATCTTCGACTGACATTGTTATTATGAGAAGAACTTGATTTGTTGTCAACATAAGTTAGCATCATGAATACTTGATAGTGTTTATAAGTATGATGTTACGTAAATAAGATGATTAATATGATCATGTGATAATTTATAAATAATTTATACTTTACTTATCTCTAATACTATTAGTGCATCTTCTAACCTTGACATTCTTTGTCAAATTTAAAAATGAATTTTTTAAAGATCATGTTTAGAATACCTTATCCGGTACAAATTAAGATTTTGATCTTCAACCAATTGAAGATTTTCAACTCCCTCCTTTCTTTTTTTCTTGTTCATTTTCTCAGCAATCCTTTGCTCTCAAGTGTTTATTCTATCTATAAGCTCTTAATCTTGGACGGGTTCTTGAAATTTTAGTGTTTCTCTCTTGATTTCTCAAAAATGGGTATAAAACTCCCTATCTTCTCTCTTTATGGTTCCCATAGATTTTTTTGGTGAAGAGAGTATTTATACTTTATATTTTCCTTTATTTGCATTTAGGCCCCCCGTTTTCCTTTAAATGTATTATTCTCTTCAATTAAATCCAACTCTCAATAGTACCGGGTTTATTATAATGTCGAATTATTTCCCCCAGAAATTTATATTAATTTTTTTTTGAATTTTTATTTATTTATTATATATAATTTTTCTTTTCTTGAGGTTAACATTCTCCCCTCTTAATAAAAAATTTTTCCTCGAAATTTAAGTGATGTACCTGAGTTTATAAACAAGTCAGGGAATTTTTGTCTCATTTCTAATTCTCTCCCCCATGTTTCTTCCTCGACTTATGAGCTTCCCCATAAGAGTCTAACGATGGTAACTTTCTTGTTACGAAGTTCTTTCTCTCCCCAATCGAGTATCTTTATCGGTCTTACCTCAAGTGTTAAGTCTTCTTTTACCTCCACTAACACTTGAGGTAACACTCTTGAAGGGTCTATATTGGTTTTTTACAACAAAGAAACATGGAATACATTGTGAACCTTGACCAACTGTGAGGGTAAGTTTATTTCAAATGCTATAGGTCCCATATATTTTTGGATTTGAAATGGTCCAATGAACCTCAGAGCTAACTTCATTTTCATGCCGAATCTCAGCATGTGCTTCCATAGAGCTACCTTCAGAAATACTTTATCTCTAGGACAAAATTTAAGTGGTTTTCTTTGAATATCTGCATACTTCTTCTGTCTATCCTAAGCAACCTTTATTCGATCCTTAATAATCCTCACTTTTTTAGTAGTGATTTGTACTAATTCTGCCCCATACAACTTTTTGTCCCCAACTTCTTCCTAACACAAGGGTGTCCTACACTTTTTTCCATAAAGAGCTTTAAATGGGGTCATTCCAATTATTGCCTGATAGCTGTTGTTATATGTGAATTTTACTAATGATAGGTGCTCTTCCCAGTTTCCGCTAAATTCCAAAGCACATGCCCTTAGTAAATCCTTTAAGATCTGAATAATTCTCTCAGATTGGCCATCAGTTTGTGGATGAAAGGCAGTACTGATACTCAAATTTATTTCCAAGGCATGTTGTATGCTTGGCCAGAGATGTGAAGTAAATCTTAGGTCTCGGTCTGAAACAATAGATATTGGGACTCCATGAAGCCTTACAACTTCATTCATATAAATCTTAGCCAACTTGTCAACTGGATCTGTCATCTTTACTGGTAGGAAAAGGGTAGACTTAGTTAGTCAATCCATAATAACCCAGATTGCATCATTCCCTCTCTTTCCTCTGGTTAGTCCCAACACAAAGTCCCCAACTTCTTCCTAACACAAGGGTGTCCTACACTTTTTTCCATAAAGAGCTTTAAATGGGGTCATTCCAATTATTGCCTGATAGCTGTTGTTATATGTGAATTTTACTAATGATAGGTGCTCTTCCCAGTTTCCGCTAAATTCCAAAGCACATGCCCTTAGTAAATCCTTTAAGATCTGAATAATTCTCTCAGATTGGCCATCAGTTTGTGGATGAAAGGCAGTACTGATACTCAAATTTATTTCCAAGGCATGTTGTATGCTTGGCCAGAGATGTGAAGTAAATCTTAGGTCTCGGTCTGAAACAATAGATATTGGGACTCCATGAAGCCTTACAACTTCATTCATATAAATCTTA